CTCTCTCTCTCTCTCTCTCTTTTTATGCCCCACCAAATGCAATTATAGTTCGCTATTCAAACAGCTCTTAATGCCAAACGACAGCTGACCAGAATTTCCTCCTCAATGGTTTCCGATTTGGTTCTTCTACTCTTCCTCTGTTCTTCTTTGGTTGAATTTTATGGATTCGTGCATGATTGATTGCTGTTCCTGTAGTTCCTGTAGAGAATGTTCTGAAACACAAGAACAGCTTTTCTTGGGCCAAGTTGTGTCTTTTAAGATTCATTCAGTCTTTTCAGTGACTGCTTTCCAACACTTGTCAGTCTACAGTGGTGAGCACTTAGCCGTTTAGCAGTTAGTCTAGCTTCAGTTTCAAGCCAATATTTTAAGCCGTTTGTTCCTTCAATTTAGGGCCAAATCAATGTTCCAACACTCGAGAACCATAACATAAGAGCAGGCTGGCCCAGCGAAGCCCAAAAAAAAAAACACGCCTATTACCAGAGCAGTTTTATAGTTCCGTTCCCCTCTCTCTCTCTATCTGCCGTTATGAGGGGTGCGCTGTGTGGGCGTGTGTTATCAGCTGTTTCCCATTATGGCTTCAGCGGAAATATATGTACGAACAGAGGCGAACATTTGAGGCGGAAGCAGACGCTCGCCCCTGGCAATACAGACACACACACTTACCCGCGTTAACCGATAAAAATAAAGGCAAGCCCAAGGAAAAGGGGAAGCAAAAAGTGGAACTAAATGCGTATACGTAATGTGAGCGAATCGAAAACCCCCGCAACCATACACACCCACCACAGGGTAGTGAAAAACAAAACAGCGATGGAAGCGGAATGGGAAGAGAGGAAAAGAACAGAAAAAACAATAGCACCGTTGACGACGAAGTTGGCACTTGCCAAACAAACAAAAAGCACGAAAAGCGTTGGCGGGAGGGAGGATTGGCTGGACGGACTTCAGAGAATATGGGTCTTTTGAGTCCCCAGAGAGTTTTCGAGCATTGAACCTAGTAGATTTATGTACAGTTGGGCACAAGACACTATATAGTTTATTATTTACCACTATCAAGAGGCTCTAATAGTTTTTTAGTTCCCACTGGTGCCTAATCTAAAGATATCAATATGTATTACGATATGAGCAAACTAGAGAGCAATCCACTTAAGGATACGGGAACTAAGAAATTTTTAAAGCACAGCTCAATAGTTGATATTAATTATTGGCCGTAATCGTATTTATTGTCAAATTTTAATGCATCACTGGTAGCAAAAGTGTCATCTCTGATCTCTATTTCTCTCTTATTGTGTGTCCATTTACCGTTTGTTCTCTTTGATGTCAGAGCTTTAAGAGCGGCCCACATTACATGTGTTACAACTGCATGCTGTATGTGTAAGAGAGAGAAAAAGAGACCACCACTGCGGTTAAACGGTACAAATAGGTAGAGAAAACCGTTGCACCTTAAACGCGAAATAGGAAATCCAAACAAACGATTAACCATCTCGAAAATGTTGACCCTGCTACTCATGTACCAAAATAGGAGTGTTCTCCACTAAAGTTTTGGTGCCAGATGATTTCCAAATCCAACGAGAAATTCGCAGGTGACACCGGATCTCTAGATATTTGATTTTTTGAGCACTTCGGAATCCAGGCGCATCAATCGCAGGGCCACAAACGGTTCACATATAAAGGAGGCCACCAAAGAGCGAAGAAAACCCAAGCAAAAATACGTTTGCAGGCGACACCGTCAGGGAAATCGAAGCGCAACAACAAAAGCCCAAAAAGAAGCACACATAGCACCGCATACTGAGCCACACACACAAACACACGTACATACATGCGCGGGCAAGCTCATGGCAGCTGCCATGGCAAGTAGCCGAAAGAGACGGAGCTAGTGCTAGCAGAGACGGAGGCAGAGGGCTGGAGACCAACAAACAGTGGAACAAACGGATGGCGCTTGTCACTTTTGTTGTCTCGATTCGATTTCAATCTAGTGTGGAGTCTGAGTCGGACCTTTAGCCGGACATATTAGTATGCAGAACTGATAATCATTAGGTAGGACGACTCACACACACGACGCTTGGCAGGGATAACGGCGCTATTTGCATACGAATAGACAAAGAGAGAGCTACAACAATCATTGCAAATGCACGACTAAGCTGCAGCGAACAAAGGAATCGAACTCGAAGTACAGCAACGAAACGCCGGAGAGCAGTCCCTCTGGTATGTCCAAACATTTTTTAATTAATGAAAATTGCGCAAAGAACACTGAAAAGCTTTCAGCTGGACTGGTCTCAAATCAAGGTAATGACAGATCAAAAGTGCGAAAAAATGTTCATCAGCAAAGCAAGACAGTTAGAAAGACTCGTTAAGTAAATGCGAAATGAAGTTATAGCGATAGGATAGTTATTGCTATCATAAGAAAACATTAGACTTGACTTCAAATTTCCTTACGAAATAAATAAATACATAAAAAGACACCTGTAAATTCTACCATAGCCAATTTGACTTAACCCTCCCGGGTTTTTATTACCGCAATTTGCTATTTATCAACCAATTGATGGGCACCCACATAGCAACATAAACAAGCTCCAAATGGGGCATTTTTTAAGAAGGGGCAGTAAAAAACGATGATGTTTTTCCGTACTACTAGACGGAAACTGCATCCACATGAAAGGCTCTTTGCTCTGTTGCTCTCTCCTTCAGAGGCATGTTAACGAAAACTATAGCATTGTTAAGGGTCTGATGAGAGCTGTCGCAAGGAGCTTAATAACTGTAAGTAGAGTAGGGTGCGGTGCCAGGGGTGGGAGTACGTGCCAATGGCCCCAGTCGAAGTAATAAACACACGCACAGCCCAGTTAACACTGGAAATGGGCCCCAAGTGTCAGGACTGTGTGCTGGGCGGGCAGAACATGCAACAAACGGAACCGGGGAGAGGTGAAGTCTAAGAAAATGGGAAATGGATTTTCATTGCTAGTTGCTTTTGTTGCTTTTGTGTGTATTTCAGGGTATTCAGGATATCCAATTTCCCAAAGATTAGTACAGAAAGAAAAGCAAAGAAATCCGTTCCAATTTGGTTTGCTGATCAATATCTAAATATGGAATCTTTTAATGCAACAAAATCCATCAATATATAGCTTCAAGCGGAGTTCGGAGATGGATCGAGGGTAAATAAACTTCGGCAGCCCGGATAGAGCTTCCTACTGGTTTGGCTTTTTTTTTTGTATAATTACTACGACATACCATGTATTGTTTTCTTTGTGTGAGTGTTGTTCTTTGTGTGCTGTGGCTAGCACACACAACGGTAATTTAATTAACATACATAAACACACTCACACACAGAGCCTAAAAGGGAATGTGGAGCACAATAAAACAAGGGACGGAACGAACGGTGTGGCAGGCTGATTAAGGGGACAGTTTGCTTGAGGCACTTACCACAAAATTGTATCAAAACAGCTCCTCGTAATCGATATTCAGTGTGTAATCGAATTGAGCATGCGACACATTTGCAAATAATTTTAATTAAGGGGAGGACGCACGTGCTTCACTTGAAATATTTGCATTTGAAATTGTTTTCCCGATTTGATCCACGCAGCACAAACTTATTTTTGACATTTATTTTCGTGGCTTACAATCTGGCTTGAAGCTGTCGAACAGCGCTCTAACTGTTCCGTTATGACAGCCGCGAACAGCTGTTTATATGCCGCCGTAAGTTACACGTTTAACCGTTAGACCGTTGACCGTCGACCGGGGGCGACACAACCGTTAAGAGTCGCGTTCCGCCAGTGTATGGGCTAGGCTAGTGTCGAGGATGCGACTTACCTACTCTTTTGGGGACAGTGTTGCCGTGCTACGAAAGCACAGTCAGGGCCTGCGCAGAGTGTCCAGCTCAAGAGTGAGAGAGAGCGGTGAGAGAGCGACCTGCTGACTGACGGAACATCTGTGTTTTTGTTATTATGCTTTTAGAAGGCAGGCAGGGCGAGGCAATGACAACGACACAACATCAATTCGATTGTGGTGAATGGAGCACACAGATTACAGTTCTTTCAATAAATAACTGTCGAATAATTGATGGTACAACCAAAGAGCTAACGCTACTCTGATTGAAATTAACCGTACTGCGGTACATGTGTACATACAGGATGCCTACGATTGGCACGGACTGCTGATGTACAGCCACTCACACTGGCACAAGTCCGTATCCGCCGTATCCGCCGTATCCTTGCCCATGCCCTGTATCTGTGTGTGGCCCAACGACTAATGTCAAGGTTCTTGGCTGCTGTTCAAAATCCCTCAGCACGGCACGTGGCCACAGAGAGGCCCGCGGCACGGAGGGAAGGGCGGTTGGGGCGATTATGCCACTACCAGGCCAATCCTGCCGCTCTCTGTCCCTCTCTCTCTCTCTCTCTTTCTCTGTGTCTCTCTATAACTGTTCTTTCTGTCCGACACGCTGGGCCCTCGCATGAATGAGCAAAAAATGTCGCGACAAACCCAATTCCAAAGCCAATGTCAAGTGCAAGCGGAAGCAAAGGATAGAGGCAAAATCTCTTAACATGCACCACGATTACCCCACTTACCCCACACCCGGCAAAAGCCTTCGCAGTGGGCATTCAGCATTGGGGCCAATGGCAATGGACGCCTGCTCAAGTGACCGACCCTCCGCCCAAACTGGACGGCACACTCACGCTAATGGGCGTGCATCTATATTTTATAAGTCATCGATTGCAGTCGTCCTTCCGCCATTTCACAGCCACAGTGTATGTACATAGGTGGTACCGTGCTGATGGATGTTTACCCCTGGGCAAGACGTAATTTCAATGCCGTAGGTCGACTGCAATTAAACACCAATTAGGCAAATGATTATATGGATGTATTTGCACTCTGGCTACTATGTAATGACCCCAGTGCTCGAAGATGTACTCTTTGTCAACTAATCCCAGACAGACGCTACAAAAACAGCATACATGCCGGGTGCTTGACGGTATATTCGTTATCAGCTGTAGTCGCACAGTCCATACAGCAAAGAAGACAAGTCTTATGGTCAAAAAGCGACAGGGATCGATTATGACCAGGTCTGGGGTACACTGAATGGTCCGAAGCGCTGATGAGCGTCCACGCCACGCACAGCGAAATAGTAGCGCTGATTCTCCTGAACCTGATTAAGCGTGACAGCCATGGGCAACAGCATGGCTTTGACGTCGCCCACGTGCCTCCATGAGTCGGTGCTGGGCTCATGTGATGTCTCCTGGTACGAAAATATCTGATACGTTACACAGTCAGCAAATCTGGCACTCGGATCCTCCAAGAACCAAGAGATTGAAATGCCTGTGTTTATGAGACCGACGCGTATGAAAGGCCGAGATGGCGGAAACTTCCAGGCGGGATTGAAGGGCTGTGCAGGCGATGATGGCAGAGGAGCTGGATGCGAGTACCTCAATCGAGTGGCGGCAGGCGGTGTGTTCTCCGACCGAATCTGCATCGTCACATTCGATCCAAGCGAACTGCGCTGACCTGTTGAAGATGACGAACAGAGTTAGAAAGCGATCAAGGGATTAATTCATTTCAAGACTCACCTCCACTATTATTGGCGACAATTTGTCTGGCATGTTCCAGCGCCATTTGCAAAGGCGACAACCTCACAGTATTTCCATTAACACCTGCGGTTCTTGCCTCAGACATCGTTGCCCTCCTTGAAATTCTCTTCCTGGGCATGTTGGATGTTTTCCGTAAACGTGCGTTGGCCTCCGCAGCGGAAGCTGCAGCCACCATAGCTGCCGCAGCATCGTCTTCGTCTGTGAGATCAATTACAGCCTTTTCCATCGGCTTGGCAGGAGCCAGGTTTGGTTGCTGCTGGCCATAATTGAGAGCACTGCCGTCACTGCTGCTGGCTGCGGAAACGGGTACAAAGACGATTCCCGTTCCCTTGGGAGGCATTGCGCGCACTTTTGTTGGCTCTTGCTCACCCTGATTGGGTCCAGGAACAGGGCGGGTTCTACGAGGAATTAGAAGATTCTATAGTAAAAGAGCAAACCGTGTGTAATCGGATGACTTACGTTGGATATTGCTGCTTTTGCGTCGTATAAGGACTCCTGTTCCTCATCGCTGCTGCTGATGCAGTGCTTCCTGTGTGCTTTGAGGCATGCATGGGCCTCTGAGTTCCAGTGGGAGAGGCCTGTACGCGACTATTGTTGGACTGGTTGTTCAGTCCAGACACTGGAAGCTGTGGGATAACCTTTTGCAAGCATCCTCCCCGTACCGGCGGCGCAGAAGCAGTGCCAGGTTCCTGGAATGACTGCTGTTGCGCGTTCGAACGCTCGCCTGAACCGCCTCCGAGCAACTCCTGCAATGGCGAACGTAAAGTAGATGTGCTCCCCTTGGAAGGAGTGCTAGTACTACTAGGAGGCGCCAACAGGCTGAACGCAGCATGTGTCTCATCTCCAACCCTGGTAACAGAAATCTCCTTCATGGCCTTGAAAGGAATGCCTACTTGCAGTCCAACAGATCGAGTAATTTTCATCGGTGCCGTGAATTTTATACTCTTGGCATCCAGATCTGTCAGCAGCTGCTTGTGCACTGCGTCCAGGTCGTGAAACTGTTTGGTTACTTCGGCAAACCTGCCCCGATAGATGGCAAGCGTCTTCTCATTTTTGTCCAGCTGGGAGCGGATTTCCGCCAACTCACTTTTCACCATCATACCCTCAACGACCTTCTGGAGGACGAGTCTTTCCAGATCATCTNGGGCATGTTGGATGTTTGCCGTAAACGTGCGTTGGCCTCCGCAGCCTCCATAGCTGCCGCAGCATCGTCTTCGTCTGTGAGATCAATTACAGCCTTTTCCATCGGCTTGGCAGGAGCCAGGTTTGGTTGCTGCTGGCCATAATTGAGAGCACTGCCGCCACTGCTGCTGGCTGCGGAAACGGGTACAAAGACGATTCCCGTTCCCTTGGGAGGCATTGCGCGCACTTTTGTTGGCTCTTGCTCACCCTGATTGGGTCCAGGAACAGGGCGGGTTCTACGAGGAATTAGAAGATTCTATAGTAAAAGAGCAAACCGTGTGTAATCGGATGACTTACGTTGGATATTGCTGCTTTTGCGTCGTATAAGGACTCCTGTTCCTCATCGCTGCTGCTGATGCAGTGCTTCCTGTGTGCTTTGAGGCATGCATGGGCCTCTGAGTTCCAGTGGGAGAGGCCTGTACGCGACTATTGTTGGACTGGTTGTTCAGTCCAGGGACTGGACGCTGTGGGATAACCTTTTGCAAGCATCCTCCCCGTACCGGCAGCGCAGAAGCAGTGCCAGGTTCCTGGAATGACTGCTGTTGCGCGTTCGAACGCTCGCCTGAACCGCCTCCGAGCAACTCCTGCAATGGCGAACGTAAAGTAGATGTGCTCCCCTTGGAAGGAGTGCTAGTACTACTAGGAGGCGCCAACAGGCTGAACGCAGCATGTGTCTCATCTCCAACCCTGGTAACAGAAATCTCCTTCATGGCCTTGAAAGGAATGCCTACTTGCAGTCCAACAGATCGAGTAATTTTCATCGGTGCCGTGAATTTTATACTCTTGGCATCCAGATCTGTCAGCAGCTGCTTGTGCACTGCGTCCAGGTCGTGAAACTGTTTGGTTACTTCGGCAAACCTGCCCCGATAGATGGCAAGCGTCTTCTCATTTTTGTCCAGCTGGGAGCGGATTTCCGCCAACTCACTTTTCACCATCATACCCTCAACGACCTTCTGGAGGACGAGTCTTTCCAGATCATCTCGGGTCATGTCTTCAAGACTCTTTATTTCGGAGGCCAAAAATACGTTATGATTCATTTTGCAGGATTCTTTTCACTTTTCTTGCTCAGTTCAGAATCTTAAAAAAAATATAAGGTTATGTAAGGTTATAGGTCCACATATTTTGTATGTGCACTTGCATTCGCTCATGAAGCAACTATAAAGGAGGGCCCGTCGGCTTTTTAGAGGGAAACGTAACAATGCAGAGAGAGAGAGCAACTTTACAATAATAAGAGTACAAGCTGCTCATACTTGCGTCCCACCACGATCGTGGGGGGGGGGGGGGGGGGGGGGGGGGGGGGGGGGGGGGGGGGGGGGGGGGGGGGGGGGGGGGGAATGACCAGGGGAACGCTGCCGACACGGGCACTCCTTTATAGTTGCTTCATGCGTTCGCTGTAGTCATACATACATATATGTAAGTGCGTGTAGACTGCAGTGTGTGGAAAGTGTTATTGTATTGCTGTTGTACACGTGTACACATATATAACTCGGTGTATACCTTTAGAACGATTTCATGTACGTGCGCACTTTTCTTTCAAACTTTGGCGACGCGCTAGCGAATGGTTCACGGCGGAATGCCCAATAATACAACAACAAATTTTCAAAAAGTCAGTTTCGAAGAGAATGTCCGTATCTATCAGATCCCCTAATAAAGATTTGATTGGATCATTATTCATTTAGCCAGAATATAGAAATTCGTTTGCAGTCGCCACTTCCTGCGTATTCCCCCTCGCTCGCACTCTCTGCCTCGTGCAGTGTTTGGCACTGAGGAAGATGACTGCTTAAAAGGCGTGTTGGTGTGGGAAGTGATGTAGATGTACGTCAAACGTTTCATACGTAATAACGTTACTCCTCTCTGTATTGTTGTTGCGCACGTGCACATCTGTAACTTGGTGGATAATAACAAGATGCCCATCTTTGGAAGGGTTTTTGGCGACGCACCACACTTAGTTCCCCAGAACAAGCGAATGGTTCATAACGGGATACCCAATAACACACCAACAAACCAGCACGTCTCGTCATTGTGTGTGTAGTAGGACTTGCGAGAAGATGATGAAATAAATGTCTTCGGTGCTCGCTGTTATTAAAAGCATGATCCTGCTTTGAAATTATAGCTTGTGGTTTACATATGAATCGTCTGTGCGTGTCGGTGAACCAACAAACTCCAAAACTAGCGCAAATGTATTGTTTTTGTTTTGTTTTTAATGCCATACGGGCATTAAGAGTAGTTCAGTACGATCGTAAATTAAAAAGTCCACTAAATTTTATGCTTACCTTACACAAAAATGTAACACGTTAACACTTCACCGATTGGCATTAATTTAAATATGGCGACTTATGACACAGAGCCGTCCAGGGTTGATCTTTCTCTTGAAGTATCGAGAAAGTTTCGAAATGGTGCGAACAATCGATTATAAATTAAATACATGAATCTCCTTGAAACACTGGGAGAAAGGACCTGGAAGCGCACGGGGATTCTGGCTATCTTATTTGTGTCTATAGTTCTTACTAGAACTCCCGCAGTTTACATTTTGATCAGTCAATCAGGGATGATTCGTATTTTCGGTATCGATAGTGTGCGGAGTGAGCGAGAAATGTCAGGCAGATGGTAGTTTGTCAATAAAAAGAAAGAGATATCACGAGATGTTGGTAGGGAAACAGGTAAAATATTTGTCATTCGGATTGAGGAGTGTATTTTATAAGTGAAATGAGAGATATGATTATAAGATAAATATGAAATACAAAGTACAGAGGGTCTTGTGTTGGCGTGATAGTTGATGTAGATGACAGACGTAGAAAAAATGTAGTGTCAAATTATCGTATTTTCAATATCGATAGTGTGTCAAATGCGAAAAAACACAAAAACAACAATATACCGAGTACCAGGTATAAAAGTTGTGACGCGTACTAAGCGTCTAACACGTTCCTGCTCGTTTTATCTTTGTCTATTCAAACCTACATATGGTAAGTGCAAGATGAAGCCTGTTAAAATATGTAAAATAAAGTTTTAAATCAAAATTAAATTCGGGTTTGCTCATTGGATATTTATTCAATATTTGTAATATTTCATGTAAGTTTATAACTTAATTATCTGGAGAATATCTGTATTAAATAAAATCATGAATCTTTAATTCCATTAAATACTTTTTTAAAAAAGCTTGGGCCGGGCTTATGACAATATAAATGTTATCCGAATTGTCGTAATTTCCTCTGGATTACATTTCAGTACCTACTTATCCGTTTACACTTTTTAATCTTAACATGACATTGAGAAATAGGCTCTTAAATCTAAGCTAATTATTCTGGCTAATTTTAACATCATCGGATAGGTCCGATGCAGACGGTATATCTTAGAAACAAAAATATATTATCAATTGGGGAATTAAAACATTAAAAGAAGCTGAAATGCCACGATAAATAAATTAAATTATAATATAATATAATGCTCTTATAGTAAAAATATGACCCGATTACGACCAGGTCTTGGGTACACTGAATGATCCGAAGCGCTGATGAGCGTCCACGCCACGCACAGCGAAATAGTAGCGCTGATTCTCCTGGAACTGATTAAGCGTGACAGCCATGGGCAACAGCATGGCTTTGACGTCGCCCACGTGCCTCCATGAGTCGGTGCTGGGCTCATGTAGTGTCTCCTGGTACGCAAATATCTGATACGTTACACAGTCAGCAAACCTACTACTCGCATCCTCCAAGTTCCAAGAGATTACAATGCCTGTGTCCATAAGACTGAACGCATACTCTCCGGCTCTACCGCCGTTGAAGGTCCGCCCTAACTTCCCGACACGTCCGCTACTACCGTCTCCTCGACCTACGCTCATGGAGTTAGCTCACCGCCGTCCGCCGCACAAGAGGCTGGCTTAGACGTAGCAGTGTAAGCTAGGTTCGCTTGACGCGACTGGACAACTTCTACTGCTTGTCTCAATCTTTCGAATCAAGGGATTAATTCAATTCAAGACTCACCTCCACTATTATTGGTGACAATTTGTCTGGCATTGGCCCTCGGCATTTGTAAGGGCGACAACCTCACAGTATTTCCATTAACAGCTGTACGACCACCTGCGGTTCTTGCCTCAGACATCGTTGCCCCCATAGAATTTCTCTTCCCTGGCATGTTGGATGTTTGCCGTAAACGTGCGTTGGCCTCCGCAGCGGAAGCTGCAGCCGCCATAGCTGCCGCAGCATCGTCTTCGTCTGTGAGATCAATTACAGCCTTTTCCTTCGGCTTGGCAGGAGCCAGGTTTGGTTGTTGCTGGCCATAATTGAGAGCACTGCCGCCACTGCTGCTGGCTGCGGAAACGGGTACAGAGACGATTCCCGTTCCCTTGGGAGGCATTCCGCGCACTTTTGTTGCACATTTTGGTCCTTGCTTACCCTGACTGGGACCAGGAGCTGGGCGGGTTCTACGAGGAAATAGAAGATTCTATATTAAAAGAGCAAACCGTGTGTAATCGGATGACTTACGGTGGATATTGCTGCTTTTGCGTCGTATAAGGACTCCTGTTCCTCATCGCTGCTGCTGATGCAGTGCTTCCTGTGTGCTTTGAGGCATGCATGGGCCTCTGAGTTCCAGCGGGAGAGGCCTGTACGCGACTATTGTTGGACTGGTTGTTCACCTGAGGTGCTGGGAATGAGGTTCCAGGCACTGGTCGCTGTGGGGTAACCTTTTGCAAGCATCCTCTCCGTACCGGCGGCGCAGGAGCAGTGGCAGTCGCAGCAGGAGACTGATTGTAGGAAGCGGAGGAACGTGGCGCTGGCAGTGGCTGCTGCTGGTTTTGCTTTTGATGCTGCTGCTGTTGCGCATTCGAACTCGCGCCTGAAGCGGCTCCGCGCATCGACTGCAACGGCGAACGTAAAGGTGATGTGCTCGCCTTGGATGGAGTGCAAGGAGCCGCAAACATGCTGCCAGCAGCATGTGTCTGATCTCCACCACTGGGCGCAGCGTTAGGCTTCATGACCTTGAAAGGAATGCCTACTTGCAGTCCAACAGCTCGTGTAATTCTCACTGGTGCTGTGAAGTGTGCATTCTTGGTCTCCAAATCCTTCAGCACCCGCTTGTGTACTGTGTCCAGGTCGAAAAACTGTTTGGATACTTCGGCTATCCTGCGACGATAGATGGCAAGCGTCTTCTCATATTTGTCCAGCTGGGAGCGGATATCCGCAAACTCACTTTTTACCATCATACCTTCAACGACCTTCTGGAGGACGAGTTCTTCCAGATCGTTCCGGGTCATGTGGTCAAAGCTCTTGCGAAAGCTCTTTAGGAACTCTAGACGCAGCGGCTTGACGTCTGCTTTGAGCTCTGGCTCTGGTTTCAGGTGCAATTTTAGCTCCTTTTGGTCCTTTATAGTGAGTGGGTCTTCCTTCTGGACCAACTCGGAGTCCACCTCTTTGTCCTGTACTTCCAAGTCGATATGAAGTGTGCCATCATTGGAGCAACTCGAATCGGAGTCATCAGTCCTGATTTTCTTACTGGGTATCTCGTCCTTTCCTTCCGAGGGGCTGGAGTCTAAGGAATCGTGGCTACGCTTAGCCAAAGTGGTAATGGGTTCCGCCTCGTGGGCATCGTCTGAGTTGGATATGCGAGTCTTTTTATTCTCTGGGTCCGCATCAGGAGCGGACTTTACCTCTTGTTCTTCCACATCAGAAGTTGCTTTCTCGGCGGTTCCAGGCTCGACAGGCTTCGTCCCGTCTGATTGGACATTTTCAGCGGGACACAGCAAGTTGCTGCTTGAGCTGCTGTCCCCGTCTTCCGTGGCAGTGGCAGTCTTTATCTTATCTTGTGGCGTCAGCTTCTCGAACTGATCGCTCGCATTGTCGGAATTGTCCGCTTGGAGTTCTTTGCTTTTAGAGGGCTCCGCTGGATTAATTTTAGAATCATTCGGAGTGGGGGAGGATGACACCTTTTCGGAATCCTTGGTTGCCTTATCTTCGTGCTTCTTTTCAGGCAGTTCCTCTTCTTCGTCCTCGGATACCAAAACGACGTCATTTTCTAAGCTGTTAGTCACAGCTGATTTGAGCTCTTTTTTCTCCGTTGGATCTGCTGAATCCTTGGGCTTTTCAATAGGTTCAAAGAAAATAACTTCGTCATCTGAATCTGCATCTTTGGCAGCTCCTTCAGCGGATACTTTCCCCTTGTACAACTCCAATTCCATGCCCTTTCCATCAGATAATTTCTGTTGTAGGATCTCGGGAGCTCTGTCTGTGACACCATTAGTCGTCGGCTCCATTTTGTCCCCCTCTGTGGTTTTATCTTCCGTCTCCTTTGCCACCTTTTCGCCCGCATCTTTGTCGGTTTCCTCAGTTACTTCCGTTGCCATCTCATCTATGGCACTCGTGGTTTCCATCGTTTCCTCCGTCTGAGTTTTATCCTCTGGCTCCTGGGTATCTTCTGGGTCAGCTATCTTTTTATCTTCTTCATCAACTTCCATTGGGTCTGCTGAGGTAGTATGTTCTAGGGTCTCCTTGGCCTTATCTTCAGTAATATCATCTGTAATCTTCTTCTGATCTTTAGCTAAATCGGCATTTTTGTCCTCTGTTAAGTCCTCCTCGCACACAACACACTCATCCGATGAATCTAAATCGATTACTGATATAGTCGAGGGATCCTTATCAGGGGCTTTTTCTTTGAGAATATCCTCATCCGAGGAAATGTCATCTAGATCATTAGAGGGACTTTCACGAGCATTCAATTTATTCTCGGCAGCCTTAGGTGGTTTCTCTACGCACACCTGTGACTTCTTCAATTCCTGGGAGCTAGTTGCACCAAAATCATCTGAGCTCGAAATGCTATCCAATGCATCCATAAAGATATCATCCGAGGATTGTCGAAGCTTTTCCTGGCACCCGGCGGCAGAACTATCCCCATTTGTTTTCTCTGTAGGTGTTTCCACATGAGATGCTACTTCGTCGTCTTCTTCAAGTTCCTTCACTGACTCGGAATCTTCTTTCACTTTTTCCATGAACTCGACGTCGTTTTCAGCTTCAGCGGTGTCAAGTTCTTCAGTAATTTCCGCGGCTTGCACGGAACCTTCAATCTCATTCGTACTATCTTCAGTTTGACTTTTCTCCACCGAATCGCGCGTCACGCTGCTTTCACCCGCGACAGCTTTTTTGTCTTCTTCTTCGTTTGGATCAGCTGTGATTTCCTTGCCGACGACAGGGTTGATTTCCTCTTCCTTATCGCCATCGTCTGCCCGCCGCTCAACGACGGCCGCCTCGGGCTCTTGCTCAACATCTTGGTCGGAAGCTGGCGAGTCCCTGGGACAATCCACAATTGAACTGATTTTATCCAGCAAAGCGTCCAAGTCATTTCCCGCGTTTCGCTTTTCTTCCAATATACTACCATCTTTGACGCTCTTGAGACATGCTATTGCAATTGTTTCATTGCCATTAGTCAATTCCTTTAAATCATCGTCATCCCCGGAAGACTGTCTCGATCCATTTCCGATTTCTATAACAAATTTAATGCATGAAAACATCATCTTTTAATGTTCAATTTGTACTTACCAATGGGGCTGGTCTCATCATTGAGTTCGTCGGGGATTGCTCCCATGATTGCGCCCTCTGTTGACAGTTCTTCTAATTCTGCATTTTGACTTATTTCCATCATTTTATCGGTGTTTTTTGTTTGTTTTAATTGCAAAACATTGAACTATTAAAGAATAAGAAATTCAATATCAGTAAGTGACTTTCGGACCAAATGTAAAAGGAATCCAAAGGAATTATATTCTCCCAAAATTAAAACTATATAGCTTTAAAAGCTTTTAGGAGAAAGCTTGTGCGAGCTTTTCGATAGTTTTCGGCTTCACTGGTGCAAAGGTCGAGAATTGGGTTGGTTTCCCAAGGAGGTTTAAGTCTTCCAGAGTTAGGCATGTGACGTTCTCAAGGGACACAACCCGAGAGCACCCGTCCAACCAGGAGACAAGCGACCGATAAATATGCGAGTCAAGACGGATAATGGGTTTTTAGTTATTTTTTTTCCTAATCTAAACTACTGATCCCAAAACTCCAAACTCCAAACCAGAAATATAACTCAAGACCACCAGCTTTCTGTCTGTCGCTTTGCGCTATTTCGTTTCAGTGTGTATCTACCAAACCAAACCATGTGTTGTTGTTTTTGTAGGTTGTTCCGAGCGGTCGGTCGGTCGTTCGCTTGTCGGCGAACGCGAGCGCAACAACAACGAAGGGGCTGCAGTAGAAAGAAACAAAGCAAAGCAAAGCAAGATAAACGGCGTGCGAAAAGAGAAGGAAATTTTAAGGGAACTGGAGGAAAGGTGAAAAATATTCAATGGGACGGGGACATCAGGGAAAACTGTTTATGAATCGTCGCTATAATACTAACAAAAGTGAGGTTAGGTTATGTCAGATATGTACTGTGTGTGTGTGAGTATGTAAGAAACATAAACACATGTGCATTTTATATTTGCATTTATTAAGTATGTATACCGAGTTATTGTTTGAGGGGACTTACTTATTTTATGGAAACTTGATGGGGCTTGAATTGCTTTTTTTTTTGTTTTGAATTATTTGATTTTAACTACTAACTACACTTGAAGAAATCGAAATGACAGTTCTCGCCGAGTTCACTGCGCGACTGAACACGGTACCAAAGCGAACGTCAAACCAGCTGACGGCGAGCGCAATGAGAGCGCTGCGACTGAAATCGGCGAGAGAGGGAGAGAGCACGCACGTCGTTGTGGTGGTCTAGGGAAAGAGGGCGTGTCAAAGTGGGATGTGATGATAAGACTCGATAGTGATTCTACAATTGAAATCACTTTCACATGCATCTTAAAGCCCTTACGCTTATTTCCAACCGTACATGATGTATACATATGTACATCCATATGTATGTAATTTAATTGTAGGGCAGCAGTGAATTCTGACTATAGTTGTATGTATGTCAAATGTCCTAGAGTCGACAATGACGTTGTACGGGTTTCGGCATAGCAAGTTGGCAGTCTCGCTTATGACGTCGTTGCTCAACAATATGAGCAATAAGAGTAAGGGTAAGGGGTTTTGAAATTGTGATTGACCAGGGATCTTCGTTGGTTCACGAGTGAACCCCGCGCCGTTTTGATAACAGCGCAAAGCAAATCAAACGTAAAATAATGGCAAAGGTAGCGCCGCGTTTTTACAAACACATGCGCTTCATTGTGTGCGAGTGGGAGGTTAAAATGTGAGAATTGTCTGCGAGAGCGGGACGACCGTATGATTTGGGTATGCAGGGGGGGGAGGACAAATGAAATAAATATTTTTAATTTTTGTTTCTTCCGAAATGAAATGTTATTTAACACCAAATCCCAATAGCCACAACTTTAGAGGTAAATAAACAGTTGTACATACATAAATACCTACATACGTACATAGCTTTGTTTGTAAAACTAGTCGCCGTAATAGAAAAGTGGGAGGGGTGGGGTTATCAAAATAATGTCTGCCGAATGCAAAAGTTAACGTTAAGACTTGGAATCTAGGGTTTAGAGCTATTTAATGCAGTTAGGACCTTGCCAGGATACCGGTTTAGAATATAGTTGAAGAGCGAGCGAGAGGGAATGAGAGCGAGAGAGTAAGCGAAGAGAGTATGCGAGAGAATAAGACGTACAAATATATATACGAACATACATATGCAGCTATATGTACGTGTGTGTGTACATATAATTGAATAAAGTTCGCGTAGCACCGAATACAACACGACAAAATTGTTGTTGTAGCGTCGTCGGACGATGAGACGAACCGAAAGATACAGCAGCAGAGTGAAAAAGCAACAGCTAAGACAGACGCAAATACAAATTGAGGCGAGGGTACCATATTTTCTGGTCGAATCTTTTATTATGAATAACTATTGGTCCTACCAGGGGAGTTGGAATGATCCGAGTATAGATTGAAACTATGATAGGTTTCCATTCCCTTTTCTATCATAACATAAGAGTTTCTCGTTCTCCTCGGATGGTATCGTTGTACTCAAAAATGTTTGCACAAACAAACACATACAACCATAGTACATAGATACAGGCCATACATTTTTCTTGGCATTTTATTAGCGAAAAAAACCTAACTGGACAATTGGCTTGAAAAATCAGATTTTTGCCTATGGCTCGGAGTGGACCAAACCCGCTTGGGCGTTATGTCCATTATATCTGTTTCGCTCACACACACGGCTGCGACCGCTTTAGCAGAGCCGCGTGTGTGTATATGTGTGAGCTCGTGTGTATATCAAAATGTAGCTGTGTGTGTAAGAAATTTTGCAACGCGTTCACATTCTTTTTAGGTTACGTATCGATTTTGGTACAAAGTGAGGTTAGGTTGAAAAATATATACGCTGGCGAAAATGCAAGGGATCTGAACACATTCATGCAATCCCCAATATCATTCTATATAAGGATCTAACATAACATTACCTTCCAAGCCGCGACCAAAAAAAAAACCAGCTTCAGCCAAAAGTAAAAGCAAAAGGGGCACATTTTTTATTCATCTATTAAACATTTCAATGCTTGCATGGTTGCCAAGTCTGCAACTCTGGTGGTGATATATTAAATAAAATGGAATTTCATAAGCATTTATATGTATACTTGTGACCATATTGTGGTGCAGGGTTGCCACCGGTGATAAGTCAGTCACCTTTTAATATTAAATGCATGTTTAATGGCAACAGCTAGGCTGATGAAGCTAAGGTGCATATTCTAATGGGACTACGTCGATGTATCAAAATATTCGACCAAAACATACATGTGTTATGACTACATATACATATATACGCCTGTATCGAAACTACCTGACAACTCTGAAAACAAAAACAAATGCTTTGGAAATGGAGCCCATAGACGACGACGTGTGAAACCAATCTAAATTGGATCACACAGAAGTAATAAATCAAATAAACCAGTGAAAGGTAGCTTAAATTCTAGAGCCAAAGCCAATACACTAATTAATAAAACTTTAAAATACCATAGTTTCAAAGAAAATGTGCACTTACCCCCTTAAGACCCGATAAACGTGTTTATTAACTGGATTTAATTATTTAGAAGTCAAACTATACCATGACCCAGCGAAGAACGGTTGGTATTCATTAGTTTAAATATTTTTAACAGTTTTTTTCACATATTTGTTTACAAATCTTCAACGAAAATCCGCGTCCGAAGCCGCTTCTTGCTGAAACAGTGACTAAAGTGAGAGCAACAACATAAAGGTATAAAAGAACCAGTTCAATCATCCTAGATCCAAAGTACTGGAACCAAATCAGAAAACAAAAACATCTGTTTGCTTTCAGGGGTGCAGAGTACCGCCAAAAAGAACCACTTTTACTGAGCAAGGCCAGAGAAAGATGCTCGGAAAAGCAATATAATATTGCCAGTGAGTCAAAAATAATTTTGGGATGACAATGGTATATTTTCCTTTGCGCTTGTGTATGTTGGCATATCTAGATTAATTATAATATGACCAAAATGAATCATTATCTAAAATTGCAAGTTCACTTGGCGATTTAGCTCCGTATTGCGGTTCGCGTAGCCTCCAACTATTTCTGCCACCCCTGTGTCTCCATGGTGGGCAAACTAGTTCCGGTTCGTTTTCATGAAAACATAAACATCTGTAGATTGTAGGTTATTTTGTTTTATAATAAATGCAGATTTATTCATAGAAATATCAGTTAAAATGAGTAATCTCATAAACTTTGCTTTAAGAAAGGGTGCAAGCCTGTTGACAAGGCGCAGCCTGCAATGTTTTCGACTAGCACTTCCGGTAGTGGTCAACAAAACGCCGGTTGCTGGCGCAATAAAAAACTATTCCTCTCGAGCTGCGCCGTTTGATGTGAGCACAAGCGTGCCAAAGGATTTAATCCTCTTCAAGTATGAGAATCCAAGGTTCTACAAAATGCTGAACTTTTTCGGAATATGCCAATTTGTGTTCTGGACATACCTTTCCCACTTTGCCTTTACAACGCTAAAGGATGCCCCCGTGGTGGAGAAGCCAGGAGACGAGTTGAAGTGGTTTCAGCGCATAAATCTTGGCGACAACAAGTACAGGAATGGCATCACCGCTTGCTGCTTTTTGATTGGTACGTACAAAAGTATGTTTTTCCATCGATAGTATGGTTAAAAGCAAATTCGATTTTTATTAAATTATAGGCTACGGAATTTTGTTTGCGGTTTGGATGTTTACGCTCCGCTCCGTGCGTTTCCTCATCCTACGCAAGGGTGGTCAGAGTGTCTCGTTTGTTACCTATGGACCCTTCAACCGCAATCGTATTATGACTGTCCCACTTAAATGCATCTCAGCGCAGGAGTCCCGTGAAATGGCCAGGGTGCAACTACCCATCAAGGTTAAGGATAGGACACTCTACTACGTGCTGGATATGCGTGGAGAATTCCGTAACCCCCAACTGTTCGACTACACGGCGGGGTTAAAGAGACGCATTTAAGTGATTTGTTCAGTTCATTAAAAATTTTGCAACTTATTTGTAAATACACATGTACCCTAATTAATCGTAAACTCTGACTTAGTACACGGGTTCTGGCTTCTGTGTGAGCAGCAGACTGAAGCGCTTCTTGATGGTAATGCGCTGCCGTGAGTACTTGTCCTCCGGCGAGAAACGGGCTGGATGTGCCGACAAGGTCGGACGGCCGTCCTCGGTGCGTTTCTGCAATATCAACGAAAATTGTAGTTTAACATATTATAAATGTTGCAGCACATCGCATTTACCTTCAGCGTGTAGACGCGGTTGCCGTTTTCGTTGATTGTGTACATGAGATACATGTTGGCGTGAAAATTCAACAAATTGTCTCGGTAAATAAAAAAAACACGTGCGATGCTTTCAATGGATTTAGTGTTTAGTAACGCAACGACAGGGATGAAACAACACCCACACGCGAGACAACAATCGAGTGAGCGCGATGAAATTTCCAATCGATGTTGACTACTATCGTTTTCCAACTCTGGCTTATAAACGGCGCAAATTGTTTGGAAATATGTCGAATAAATCGGACAAGTTGCACAAACAAGTTGTACGGGAGCAACAAAAACGAATCAAACCAGGAGAATGTCAAAAATATGTGCGTATGGTTATAGACGCTGGCTTCTTGCACATTTCGGTTGGCCAGGAGCTCTTGCAGCAAATAAACTCCACCGACTTGAAGTATGAAATTCGCAGTTTGCCCATCGGAAACTGTATCATCTGGGAACGCAATATTGGCCAGCATACAATAGTGCCAGGCAGTAGTGGTTCTGCCCTGGACGAAGCCTGGAAAATGGAGAACCATGTCCTCCATTGGATAGGCGAATCAAATATGCACCACTCTCAGCAGGAGCAAAGAGCTTGCCTGGGACACAAGTTGCGGATTGCGTTTCCCGACTGCCAGTATACAGTGGCGTTGCCGAAACTACGCCACAGCAAGCACAGCTCGGGCAGTCAGGATCCTAGTGGATTGATCGAGCTACAACTGTTGCATCAGCTTCACGTGGAGCAGCTGGGAACTCCTGAGAGCCAGGAGCTGTTGTGCCTGCTCCAACGCTATACAAAGGCAATAGCCGAGACCCCGTATAAAAAGCAACGCGATGAATCTTTGGGGCTCTTCAAGAAGTATTTGGCCAACGACAAGAAGCAATGTGTCCGCGTCGAGCAGGGCAACGGGTATGGACGTCTGTGGCAGCAGCATCTGAACCGCTTGCCGCTGGTCACGCTCGAGGTGGCTGAATCCATTATAGCCCAATATCCTTGCCCCAAGAAACTGTTGGATCACTTTTCCGATGATCCCACGGCAGTGCAGTCCCTGGCTGATTTGAAGATCAAGCGCTGCAATGGACCGCAGCCCCTTCACACCGAGAGACGCATAGGAAACGTTCTCAGCAACAAACTCTACACTTTGTACAATGCCAGGGACCCCAATGCTCTGATTTAGTTTAAGAATCTGCTCGTGTATTCGGCTTCTATCGTATGTACAATTAAAGTAAATATTTAAATTAAGAGCTAAATATTTTTACATTATTCCTCTCTGGTCGTATATAGGTATGTGTATATTTAAAAATCACAATATTCTTATACGCATATTTATGGATTTCTATAATTGTTGACGAGCATCTGTCCGTATGCTCCGTGAACAGTGAAGTAAAATAAGTATGATAAAGGTTACAAGAGAAAATCGAACCGATGGCGGGTATTCTATGCTATGGTGAAAGCTCAGCTCATAATCTACAGCGTGGCCAGGATTCGGGTGAAGCCCAGGCATGCCGATACTATGGTCTGGCCAAGTCCCCAAACCATTGCATAAATAGGCGACATGGGCAGACTGGAAGCGCGATGCACAAATGCAATTACCGCACTGCTAATGATGCCACTTGAAGCTGGTGACAAGAATCCCATTACCAGAATCAGTATAGAGAAGAATCGTCCGAATTTATGCTTTCGCAGCGTAACAAACGCCACTAGGGCGGCACAGGTGTGGATGAAAATGGATGAGAAGAGGGCCCACAGAAATATGTGGTACCACATTTCGCGAAATGTGTTTAGCCGAGCCTGAGAGCGCAGCCCCATGACATCGGCGATGGTGTCCAGCTCATCGGTGTCATATGGTTCGGAAAACATGTCGGGCGATGCGTCGTGATATTAACCTTGAATTTATGGAAGAATATCGGGCTGGACTTGCTGCTAATTACGTTACTAGTTATTGCTTTTCCGTTTCTCTGAGTTGGTCATTGGTGTGCTGGGCTGATTGGCTGCTCCTCCGATGTGGGCCGAGGCGGACTGCTCATATCAAGTGACGTTCATGGACCTGAAAGTGCAAGTGGATCTTGCTACAGTTCTGTTGACCTTTTGGCAGGCTCGTTCCATACTTACGCCCACACATATGCGCACCCCGACTTCATTAGCTCGCTACTGTTGGCCGGAATGCACTTTCGGACTGCTTTGTGACTTGCTTGATAACTGCAGTCCGTGTTATAACATTTTTGCGGTTTCCTTATGGTTGCAAGTGTTTTTGTTTTATTTTTTTATTTGCCAAGCAATCGATTTGACATTCAATACGCCATTCAATTGGCGACTTGCTCGCGGCAGTGAATCTCTAAGTCATAGTTTCTGTCCAACCATTTGATGTTCGGGGGCGTTAATGTCGTTTAATTTTGTCTAAATACAAAACACTTTGAACCTATTTTAATTATTGTTCAATTTCGAGTGTTGTGTGTTTTGCTTTTAGCGACGGGAATGGAGAACGAGTTCGGAACCAGTCAGCTGTGATTCATAAGTGAACCAAATCTTTAACTTTTGTCGGAAAAATTAAACAGAAATTATACGATTGCGCCCAGGACAATTAATTATCAAGAATATAATTGTTTAACTTCATTTAATCATTTCTATATTACAATAGTTCTTTGTTCTAGGCAATTATCGGTTTCGACCTATCGACGGCAAGCACTGGTTCAGAGACAGTGATACCAACTCGTAGGCTCATAAAAAAGCTAGACTAGCCTTTGAAAAAAGTAAAAACAACAAGACAATTTTGATGACAGCTACAAATAAAGCTTCTCATTTCACAGTCTTAACATGCATTAAAGTGGACAATTCTAGTACGTGCGCTTTCTAATTGCTCTAATTGCAAAATCATTTCCCATCATCGGCTGAAGCCACCCAATGTTCACAATTACTTGGAAAATAGTTATTTTTCCCACCACAAACCGCATTTGGCAAATAAAAAACGCTACAACTAGTGGAAAAATGGCTAAATTGCCAACACTGTTCAGAGACCTGTCATCTAGTGACAACTCTACAACCAATCCATAAACAAAAAAGTTTTTGTGTAAACTAAAAACAGAAGCGTTGAAAGGCGAAACTTTAGTAGAATTTTGCCTTTTATAATTTGTTAAATTTTTGTTCAGAGCATGGAATGCTAACAGGCCCTCACCAGGTGTAAGTAGCCCTTCCTGCTATGACACATTTCTGAACCGCATACAAATGTATGTACGTATGTACGTACAATGTGTTCATATGTCGTGTTTATACTTATGTATCTTACGCACTTACGTTCATATGTACATTCATATGTGTGCGTGAATGTGCAACGCATTGTGCTCCAGAGATCGGTGGAGAGAATCAGTTGTAGTGCCCAGCAATATGCTTACATATGTGCCTGTGTCGCGAAGGAAGGGAGATTAATTAATTGCCCCTCATTGCAGACTGTTGCAGAAGTACATAGATTCTGTCCAGCCACACCAACAACGCATTTAATCAATGTTCTCCAACGGATTGCCGTGCAATCTGTCGTTTCCGAGCTGTCTCAGTGTTCCAAAAGACGAGATTGGTAATGAAGAGCTCTTGCCATCGAATATGGGAACCAGGGAGCCTGTCATTCTCAACGTCTACGACATGGTGGGTAGAGTACTTGGTAATTGGTGTTTCACGAATATCTAATTTAATTTGTTTGCAGTACTGGATCAATGAGTACACAACGTCAATTGGTCTCGGCGTATTCCATTCCGGTGTAGAGGCGTTCGGGACAGAATTCGCCTACGGCGGGCACCCCTTTCCCTTTACGGGGGTATTTGAAATATCTCCGCGCGATCACGACGAACTGGGGGACCAGTTCCAGTTTAGGCAGAGCATTCAAATCGGCTGCACCGACTTCACGTACGAGGAAGTACGCCGGATTGTTGAGGAATTGGGCAATCAATTTCGCGGCGATCGTTACCACCTTATGAACAATAATTGCAATCATTTTTCTGGCTCCTTGACACAGGTGCGGTGTGATTCCAATGATACAAAGTACCAATTATAACGTGCATTATTTTTTCCCAGATACTTTGCGGCCAAGAAATACCTAGCTGGGTCAATCGTTTAGCGCATTTCAGCTCCTGTGTGCCATTTCTACAAAGGTGTTTGCCCAAGTAAGCGAAATTCATGCCGCATTGTTCCTTTTGTAGTGTACGCCATTGAATTGCTTTTTGTTTGCAGAGAGTGGCTGACACCAAATGCCTTGCAGCAGAGCATAACCACAATCCAAGAGCGCGAAGACTCCGACAACAGTCCGCTATGAGACATTTGAGACCTGATCGAAAAATCACTTGCGAACACTCCCCCAAGCGATCACACAACAAAGTTCACTCCCAATTGCAGTCCGAAGACCAACGTTGTTAAGTTAAATTATGCGAAATGATATGATGATGGGTTACTCAAATTTACATGGGCATATTATACATATACAAAGCATTCATTTCCAAGCCAACAAACGCCCCAAGCCCAAAAACACAAACCCAAATCCAGAAGCCAGAAACAAAAAGAAAAAAAACTATTATTAATAGACTTAATTAGGCGATATATACATATACATATACATACTTACGTACATGCATAGATACATAGATACATATACATGCGAAGTGACTAAATTATTGGCTATTGTAATTTGTATTTGTAATACGACTATTCAGAATTAAGATATTATTAAGTGCCCGGTTAAATTTAAGTAGCAGAGCAGGCGCAGTTAGCAGCAGCTGCAGCAGCAGTGTCATTTATAGAATTTTAAATTAACAACTGAGAGAAACATCGAGAACTCATTATTAGGCACTTGCAAACAAACAGACATACATAAATACAAAGGTACATACATATACATAGGTAAACGATATCAAATGTTGCCCAATTTTACTGGTTTACTTTTGTCAACCCGTGGTGTGGTGGGGGTGGGAATTGTACTTTTTTTGAATTACCCCCCACCATCAACCACCGGAGCTCGATTATGGAAATAGTTTTCTGTTTAAATTCGTTGTAGCATTATTATACAGAGCGCTCTCATAAAGCAGCCGCATGTCTATCAAAACACCAAAATGATCTGTTATCAATAAATAAATATATATGTACTTGACATTCTGATATTTACACATGCATAAATACTATTATTAAACATTTTTAAAGACAAATATATTTTGATCGAAAACATTAACTTGGATTTCATTCAGCTGCAGTTTAGCTTTTGCCAACCCTATTGGGTCGTTTTCGTAGCTTCAATATACCCATAAATACTCGTAGAAATATGCAAACTCCGTCCAACTCCTCTTCTGCTACGCACAATATTCACATTATAAAGTTTTCAATGTAGAAATGTTACCCAAAGTCTTTCTAAAACTCAAATTTATTTATGGGAATCCATCAAAGTCACTCGTTTAAATCCCATGCCAAACACTTTTCCGTAGAATATTTATGTATATGTGTATGTATTTCTGTATATAAATGCCATCGGGTTGGGACTCACCAAATGGAAATAAATTAAATTGTTTTGCTTTAGTACAGTATGTGATTAAAATGATGATAAATATATTAGAATTAGTTATGTACAATAGGGGAAAACTTCGAGGAAGACTCAAACAAGACTCGAGACATTATTGTATAAGCCATTCGCTGACAACTCCTCCACATCGATATCCTCAGGTGGCAGACGATTCTGCCAGGCAATCGGATGTGTGCTCGGGTTGGGCGTGACAATTCCGTGGGAATGGGGCGACTGCAGAGGCCTGTAGGTGATGCGATTAACGTACTCTCCGCTCAGAGATACATTGGATTGGGGAGTGGCGCGCACTTGTCCCGCATAGAGTTGTTCCTCATTGCGATAGAAATTCCCATTTGGTACGTAGCCAGAGCTGATTCGCCTGTGTGAAGGCTGTGGAGGCGGGGGCTGGGGACGATGTGGCAGCTCATGGAAGTAGGCATCTTTTGGTATGTGTCTGTCGGGGATGCCAAATTGGGGAACAATTCTGTGGGGTATGCTGTACGTTGGCGATGGGTTCAGTGAGGCTGCTTCTATGTGCTGGAAATTGTTGTTCAGATGCGAAGGCGATCGCGAGGATACCAAATGTGCTGGCTGCGTGTCCTGCTGCTGTCCTGCCGGTCGATTGGAGTCTATTGTGCTTTGCAGTTGGGCCACCATGCCTCTGACCTGACCCATA